CGAGGCGAGCAGATCTGCGCGCCCCTCCCCAGAACATCCCAGAACCGACCGTCCTTGTTGTGCTTGGCAACCTCCTCTGCGGACACGGACATGGCGAAATGCAGCGAAGGAGAGCGGCGCGGAAAGGAAGAGGGCGAGAGAGCTCGGACTGTTTCCAAAATGGCTGACCGTAACAAGGTGGAAACGAGCAGAGCTCTGAAGCCGCCAACAAAGTGTCTCCTACTTCTGCTCGCATATCCTGCATGATCTTGTCACTACGAGAAGCACATCCGCGCCGGCCTCAGCTTCGATTCCAGCACTCCAAAGCCCTTTGTCTTCATGTGGTCCTGGCTCTCTCGGAGATGAAGCCCTCAGGCCACAAAAGAGTTGCAGACCACTTCAACAATGGATCAGAAAGAAACATGGGCTTGTGCTGAACAAGTCCCTGCACCCAAGCTGCAAGGCTGCTTCAGGCTTCATTTCGTGATGTCCATGTCTAAATCCAACAGCTTTACACACCCTCGGCCCCTATCTCACCACAGCAGCAAAGACTCCTGGAAGCAGCGCATACCACCCCGCCGATCCTCGCAGCTTTTTGTGTCTGAAAACCTCAGGTTCCTTGAATTGCATTTGCTGCGGGCGCGGTCCTCGGATGCTGCAAGAATGATAACGCCATCAGGCTCCAGCCTGCAGAGAAGATTTGGAAAAGACAGGGGCAATTACGTGGGCAAGACGGCGCAGTTCCGGGCCCTAAGGGGCTGACACGCGGCACAGAGCCTGCCAAGTCGCTCGACGAGCGCTGCGTCGGCCCTCACGCTTGAAACGAGGCCTCGCCGACGGTGTCGCCCCAGTTCCCGTAGATGATGTCGGAGGCCACGATCACCTGCAGACCCAACGCAGCGCATCGCAGCGCTCAAGCACGCTCTAGCGCGACGGATAGCACAATGCACCAACATGATCACGCCTTTAGATCAAGAGCAGCCATGAAGACCATGGAACAAGTTTTATGCCTGCGAGTGCACAAGCAGAATGCCTCCACATGGTCCTCGCATGGCCACGGATCGTCCAACAGTTCCTGACAGCTTCATGTGGGCGGCTGCACAAGAGACGTGCTGGAACTGCTCACCAGCCAAAGCTTCGCGTTTAGCGTCATGAGCGCCTCCCATCGCAGGACTCGTGAAGTGACCTGGCACGAATGCTGGGTTTGGGCGTAACTTGCAGAGATGCGTGTCATGAAACGAAGTAGAAACTGGGATTCTGGGTACAACAAATCAAGCCGGGTGACATCGCCCAAGCTGGAGTCATCGGACCAAAGGGATCTGCAGGCGAAGCAACAAGAAGACATCTGCACCCTGAGCCGATCACCCGAAACGATGCCTGTTCAAGTCGATGTTGCGGGCCAAGTTGCGCACGACCTGCGAAAATGGGTCGTTGGACTCTCGGTGGCTTAGACTTCGTCACTGATGGCTCTGGCCTCCTCATCCCCATCGGTGATGAGCGTTTGCCTTGCAAAGGCGACTTGTCCCTCTTCTCAGGAGCTCGGGATCAGGTAGCAGGATTCAAGGTTTGCTTTGGGGCCAGAAGTCAACAGGTGTGTCTGATGAAGTCGCGATTGTAATGGCCGAGGCTGATGTTGGCACTGGAAACCTGGCTTGATCCCACAGAAAGACCGGAACTGACCCTCTGCCCCTTTGCTGGGCCGCTCCTGGCCAATCGCGAAACAGCGAGACCAAGCAGGCCGCAGCCTGCTCCAACCTCTGGAAGGGAGAGGATGCAAAGCTCAGCGCGACTCCGTGGATGCTGCAATGTGGGCTTCCCAGTGGGTCTTTCGCGGCCCGAGGAACTCGACATGCATCCGTACACGGAACAAGCTTGCTCTCTCCCCTTTCCCTCGCCGCGTCGATAAACCCGCTTTCCAAGAAGAAGCATTTGGCCCGAAGCGGAGAACCTAGAAACCAAAGCATCAAACCCGAAGGCCGCAGCCCCAGAGGCGCACTACTCTGGCCACCTCCAGCACTCTCCTCTTCTCGACAATCTGAGGCCTGCCGAAAAGCTATGCTCCCTGATCCTAAACGGCTTGAGGGCTTCGATCGGGAAGCACACACACACACACACCAGCGTGAACAAAAAAACACGCCACTCCAAGGCAGCGGCCGTCTCTTGCTTAAGGGCTGTAAGAAAGGCTTTTGCAGCCCTCGAAAAGCACAAGGGATCCCAACAAGACAGCCTCCCCATGAGCTCCCGCGCCAGCACGATGCCTCGGTCTCATGCAGAGGGGGGGAAGTTCTTTAGGCTTGTCATCTTTCCCGTTGGAACCGGAAGCTTCAGCTGGAATGTTAGGAGGTTTGGCCTGTACCGAGAGGGAGGCAAGATCAAGTCGTGTGAAAAGTCCCGGCTGCAGCGTGCAGAGGTCTCTCTGAACTGCTCCGGACGAGACCAGAAGCATGAGATGAAGTCACCAGACATGAACATTTGACTCTTTGACATAACTCTGAACATGAAATCTCGTTTGCGACAACTGCCTGCTACACAACCCGTCCAATGCCTTGCTTAATCCATCAGATCTGATCCGAGGCAACATAGATGCCAAGCTTTTCAGCTGAAACGTTAGCCCAGCAGCTGGACGACCACAGCTGGCAGCCGGTAGAGGCATGGACCCCTGGCACATCCAAGCAAACAGCCAGGCACTGGCTCTGAACTCGACACGCATTAAAAGAATGATGCTTTGTCTGCTCACACATAGCTCCCGAGGCTTTGAAGCGAACCCCTCCGCTTGCATCCAACATCGCGTGGGCACGAAGACTAAGACTTGAGTGAGACTCCTCATGGAGAAGAAGAACTCTGTCTGGCTGATGCGCTTCCGGCAGAAAGCCCTAGATAGTCGTAGTGACTCATCTCTCTGGTGTAGACCAAGGAGGCCACCATCCGCCATGGGCAATTCGCATATCTTCACCTGCTTGCAACCATGATGGGCAGCTGAGGATGTTCATAAACAAACAGCCTTGAGCGTTGCCTGCGTACCTACGAAGCCCAGGGTCTCTTACTAGTTGGAACGAGCCCCTGTTACATAACATCATGGCAGGCACATCCGAAGTGCAGCTGTTCCGCGTGCACAGAATGCCTTGAAAGCGGCGTGGCCGCCAGCAGGAGAAAACGCTACCTCGACAGGCACCTATGGATCCATGCTACATGCTCTATCTGCACATCCATCCATCCGTCCATCCATCCATCCGTCCGTCCTTCTATCCATGCACACCCACCTATCTACCGACTTACCGATTTACCGACCTGCCGACCTACCGACCTAGCGAGAGGGCCTGTCGGCCTGCGTGCCAGGCTGCCTGCCTGTGTGCATGCATACATACATACACACAACAGCAAAAAGATACAAATTCGTATGTCCTTATGCTTGCACGGACGGTTGGATGGATGTGAGACACCTAAATAGGTACCGTAGGTAGGCAGGCAGGCAGGCAGGCAGGCAGGCAGGCAGGTAGGTAGGCAAGTAGATAGGCAAGGAGGGAGATAGATAGATAGATAGATGTCTAGGTAGGTAGGTAGGTAGGCAGGCAGGCAGGCAGGCAGGCAGGTAGGTAGGTAGGTAGGTCGGTGGGTGGGTGGGTGGGTAGGTCGGTCGGTCGGTCGGTCGGTAGGTAAGTAGGTGTGTGCATGTGCATGCACATGTGTGTGTTTATGTATGTACACAAATAAGCTTGTACATACATACATTCATTCATTCATTCATACATACATTCATTCATACCTATATATATATATATAACTCGTTTACTTATATACACATATATATATAATATGATACATGCAACAGAGTACGTATTGCCAATTATTAACTGTAGCACTGCTGCGATCGCGGAGCGATTTGGACGACCGCCTTGCGAGCGAGCATTCAGGAGCAGTCACAGCCGGAGTCAAAAATGGACCGCGGTGATCTGTGGCTTTCGGAGGCACCATATGATCCGCCTCTTCTTCCCAGGAGTCCATGGGCTCATGACTGGAGCGAGCCGGCTGGAAGCATCAGCAAGGCACATACTTGATCGACTAAACCATAAACCTGCATCATCGAAGGATGAACTGGTGCATGCTTGCAATAAACAGGAGTCAGAAAGACCAAAACCTAACTCGACAGGTTGGTCAGACCCAGGATGGTGCGCATCTGGCTGTGCTTTTGAGCCGTGTGATCGAATACTTCTAGAGCGTGTCTTCGCTATCGCTAAGCTGGAAGTTACCGAGATCTGAACGACACATGTCCCTGTTCTGGGCGCAGGGTAGATAGTCGGTCGCGGCTGCAGGTGCAGGACAGCATCGAAGACGCTTTTCTCGCGCTCCTCTGCTGGACTCCATGCCCATCAAACTCAGCCTATTGCAGGATCACCTGCAAATTACGAGTGTGAACTTGGGCCGCAATCCAAGCTGCTCTAGGATTCGGACTGCACCAACAAGTGAGCTAACATGAACTTGTAAGATGGGAGCGATGCATTCTTCAGTGTTCCGTTGGCCTGGAAATAGCCGTCGTAGGTTTCCAGATCTCGCATTTTCCGCTACTTTGCATGCATCTAGTTGCACCTTGTCCCTTTGTACTGGTGCAGGAGCGTGAGCTTCCGTCTGTTTCCTGATGTTTCCTGCACCAGCCCTCAGGGAAGAGGAAGCTTTGGGACGAAGGTCCGTAGCTTCGAGACACAAAGCGAGAAGCCTTCGACTTCCCAAAGTCTAGGACGAAGGGCTGCCATCATATGCACACTTTGAAGCCGTGGCCAGTGAGAATCGAGCACCCCGGTAAACAAGCTTGGGCAGCTAAGTACGACCTCTGCACTGAAGTTGTTGACATTTCGCATCTGTTGCACCACACTGTACCGCTACTTCTACGGCCATGTCCCTGACCCAGGACTGAGGCTACCCCATGACTCAACAGCCTTTCAATGCTGTGATGCTGAAAATCCTCACCCTGCTTACAACCTTCCGACTGAAAGTAGGGATTTGGTTTCTTTGGTTTCTGGTATGAGCTCCTTAGGAATACTGGTGGGTGTATGCTTGGGCTATCCCAACACCTACATACTCGGTATCGAGACTCAAGTCTGCCGACGTTCAGCACGAAAACCAGGACCTCGTAACATAGGCTCTGACTGCAAAGTAGGATCCTTTTTCGCAGGGATCCTCAATTTTCTGTGTCTAGCCCTTCTGGGGCGGCTCGCGTTCTGCGTTGGCCAATGGCAGCCTCGGCAGCCTCTCGGTCCGCTTCTGGAGGGTGAGATCCAAACTGCTGGAGCCTCAGAGCGTTGAGGCTTTAGGCCCCGAAGCTTCAGGGTTTAGGGCCATTTTGGAGGGAGGTTCAGGGCTTAGGGTGATTCGCTCAGGGCTTTTAATGGGTTAGGGATCGACAGTCGAGAACTGGCGGACAGCCCGGTGAGGAGCGAAAGCCAACTCGCTGAGACAAGGAGCTTATGCCAGGTACCGGTAGATGGATGCCTGCACTGCTGTCACATAGAAGTCTTCTTGTCAGGCCGACGAGTACTGAGTGCTGGCAGGATTCACTGACATGTAAGCCATTGTCGTGGTTACATAGCGAAGCCTTCTAGAGCTACTCTCGGCTTTCGAAGTACCCTAGTCTTGCGACCTGCGGCTTGCAACTGACATAAGACGACAAGAGACAACGAAAACAGTTTCCGGAAAAGCCTGGTTCTTGTCTCTCTCCAGGTACTCACGCTCAATGAGATGCTCGATGCCTCAGACTGTGCCAGGGTGCGAAGCCGTATCTTGGACCAAGGAGACTTGCTTGAACAGGCGTCTTCTGAGCTGCAGGCGCTGCTTGACAAGCTTTGGGTTTGGCTTGAAGAAGGCAAGCTGCGTAAGCACCTTCGGCTTCCAAGGCTTGCAGTACAAGAACACCGAGCGTTAGAGGCAGAAGCTGTGGAGATGCCACATGTTGCGTGAGTTCACCATTGCCTCTGTCACCAGCTGCTGGTGGTTCAGCCTCAGTGACCCAAGCATAGCAGCATGCGCACAAGTTTCGCGATCTCTGGAAAATTGATCCCTTTCAGTTGTGCGTCTGACTGCAAAACATCGACAATACTACGGTACGCCAAATGCCAGCATTTCCCGATGCCTCAGCCGCTGGTCCGACATTATCTGGGGCTCTGGGCGTCTTCCTCATCTTCATTATGCGTACAATGGCCGCCTCGATGGCAATAGAACGATCCTCCTCGACGCGCTCCTGCAGCATGCGATGAAATCCCAGCAGTCAGAATAGCACAGCCTCCTGTGCAGACGAGCAGCTCATGCAAACATCCGACTTTTGACGTACGACGAGTGTACCAGTAACTACGGAAATTCACTTGGACTTGTCCGCATCGCCTGCCTTATTGTGAGTCTCTTCGGTCACTGGAGGAGGTACCTTGATCTTTCTGTGCGGACACCTCAGATCATCGCGAGCCATGCAAGCTAGCCGAGTGGCTTTGCAGACAACGCTTGACCCGCTGCCTATACTACCGGTGACGAAGAGCAAGGCCATGTCACATTCTGAGGTGCTTACTGGAAAGAGTCGTTGGGGGTAAAGCTGGCATCATCCTGTACGGGCTCAGAGACAGGAAGTGCTCAATCCTTGTACTTGTACGGATTAGACAAAAAATCCTCCATGGTTGGACTGACGACGAACTGGCTGCTCCGGCTACTACAGGTACGCAGGTGCGGAGCAATTTAGCCGGCACCAAAAGCACGTTGGCCCCATGTTGGCAAAGACAGGCAAAGTATTTTCCATGTCTGCTCCCTTCTAGCGTGCCCTCCTCGATCGTCTTGCCGTCGCCAGTCTTACTTAAAATCTTGAACCTGGCAGAAGCATCAGGCGGACGTACGACAAGAATGAAGAGGCTCAGTATCTCTACACATGTCCTCAACTGCAACAGCCAGCAAGCTTGAGAGAGTGTGTACTCCGCTTTGACATAATTATCAAGTGATGTCGGCTGCGCTTGGCAATCGACAAGGTGGCCAAAAGCCTGAAGTGCAGCATCCGCAGTCGATAGATACATCGACCACCCTATCCAGCGCTGCCCGATATTTCTGTGTCCTACACCTGACAGGACGGGTTGCACATCCGCATCAGAGGCCCAGAAACATCACAGACTCTGGCAGGCACCCGAACTGAACAGTGCGGCCAAGCCCTCTGAGCGCCGAACTTCTTGCACATGCTTGGCTCCAAACCCGTCGAATTCTGCAGCAGGCACGGTCTTCTTCAATCTGCTCTCTGCGTACTCGGGCGTCGGTTCTTTCCAAGCGTCAGACTGCAGTACCACGGTGTTAAGCCCGGCTCTCCACAACAGGAGTGCTACGGCGTCTCAGGGCAAGCGGAGTTGGATCCTGCCCCGACATGCCTGGATGAAGGAAAGGTTGTGGCTCTCGTCCCTGGTGAAAAGCAGCAGGATAAGCGCCTTGTTCGCAGGCATCTCAAGTGAAAGCACTGTGCTTCCCGATTTCTAGGACCGCGAAGCCCGCCTGATACGAGTTGACGATCAGGTCGTGCCTGGCTCGCCCATTAAACTCAAGTTGGAGTGCAGAGAGCACTGAAAAGCCGACAAATCAACCAACCCGCCTCCGACCGTTCAACTTGGCTGCAATCGTGGCCTGCGCTTGCAGGACAATTGTGTTCCATGACAGTGGACCCAGAGCCTGAATGAGCCTGAAAGCATTTTTTCTGACAGGTCTTCTCCTCTTATAATCCTTCTGCCACTGCGCTCAAGAAAGACATGTCAAATAATTCCAGCAGCACCCCTTGCCTGACCCAGAGAATGGATCCACTGCAACCGCCGATGCTGTGTCTTCCCCTCAGCAGCCGGTGCAAACTCGTCTTTCAGTGTTTTCACGAGAAGCAGTGGCACGTTGCTGCAATGTCAGTTTCATGCTTCTGCTTACTCGACCTTGAGTTTTTGCATCTTGGAAGCAAGCGTTGTAGTAGTTGCTGAAGACATTGATAGCCTCCAAACACTGCGGTTGCTCTACACTGTAATTCGGAAATCACATGGCATGGCGGCTTCTGCTCTCAACAGCAGTGCGCGGCGCAGCGCCTTCTGCATTTCTGGGCAAAGGCTGGCCTCCTGCACCTGCGAGCAGTCCGGCGTCCGATCTTCAAGGGGCCGGGCTCGGGCCGGGCCTGGTAAGATGGCCAAAAGCCTGTGGTCAGCACTGTGACGTTGAACTCAATGCCACCAAGGGCAGCCTGTGGAGATGTTTTCATGAAATCCTTTCCGAGCCGCACTATCCAATTGAGCCTTGCCCTCGGGAAGCTGCTCACAGTGGTCCCTGGAGAGTTGGGGCGTGTGTACCCCCAACCCAAGACCCAAGGACTGCACTGGGCACCGGGCTTGAAATCCTTCTGAGTGTCCAAAGCTAGAGACAAGTCCGTCAGCATGCCTCCCGCCAGATGCTCAGTTGCCGTTGGCACGTCTCCGAAAAAATGCCGGCATAATGGGTGTCGCTGCATCCATCACTTGTGTCCACGACACGATCACACGTCCCAGCGGCCTTCAAGCTTGGATGTGAACTGTGCACCGCACCTTCGAGCATGAGGGTGAGATGGGAGCATGGCACAACTGGAGAGCTTGCTCAGGGCTGCACTTCATCTTGAGTTTAGCAATCATGCCTCGGCTGCTTGCACCACGGCTCTGGGCTCAGATTGCCTCAAGCCTCCAATCTGCCTGCTGCTAGCCCGATTTAAAACGCTGAAGATGCCGGCCACACCAACACGAAATTAGCCTTCCCTTTACCGGTGCAAGGCAACCTTCAGCCCCGGCTGTGTGCAGTCCTGTGCTTTCTGCATGCTGCAGCATGAGATTTGCCTCAAGGCTCCAAGCTTCAAAACCCCCTGCCAGCCGCTGCTGTGCCCAGCGACTCTTTTCCGCATCCTCCGAGGCAGAGGTCTCGTAGAGCAGCCGCTTCGAAAGCTGGTTCCTGGAAGATCCGGGGCGCCGTCGCGTGCATTCTAGAGTCTCGAGAGGTGTGGGGACTCAAAGTGGTGGAGCTCGGATGCGATTAATTTAATCTCACGAAGGCATCCCGACACGAAACTCCAAGCACCATAGTGTGGGTAGCCACCAGTGCCCTTCGACCTGCGGTACATCCGGGCACCTGTAGATCTCCGCGAAGAGATCCTTGTCGCTAAGGAAGGAGAAGAGCTCCACCTGATTCTCTCCGGCTCTCTGGGACAGAATAAATCGAGAACCACTGACGCACGTCTTGGCTGATGTGTACCGAAATGCATGTAGAGATGAGGAACTGCGAGCACCTTTTGCATCGCTGCAAATCTCACGCGGGGTCGATTTAAATCAGGCCCTCAAATGCACTGAGCAGATGGCCAGAAGTCCTGATCTTCACGTGGAACCTTCTCTGGCATGGGCACGCTCGGCAGCGTCTGTACAATGCTGCGAAAACACGTGGAGCAGAGGAGGCTGCGGTGGGAACCCTAAAGCCTAAACCCCTAAACCCTAAACCCCAAAGATTCCCCGCCCGTGCTCCGTCAAACAGCTGGAGCAGCTGGAAGCTCCCAGTCACTATGATGCGCCTGCAGGCTTCGGGAGCGTGTTGCTCTGCCGAGAAGCAATATCATAGTAGATCATAGTAGATCCTAGTAGGTCCTTGCGTAGCACAGTAAGTTGTAAGAATTGCTTATGACAGTCAGATGATACGTTTAAGGGCTCGGAGTCGCTTCTTGATTTTTCCTTCCCCGGTCTCGGGCCTCGATCCGGTCGGCTATGTCCATCGCACGCTGGCGGCCTCGAGCTTTATCAGAGATTCAGTGCACAGAGGCTCTCTTTGACCTTTAACCTCTTCACCTAAAAAGCTCATATAATGCCTTGAACACAGAGCCGCATAGCAGTACTATCTTAACATATTATCTATCTAGATGCACACCCTCCCCTCCCTCTCTTCACCATCATTCCCCAATTGGCTGATTCAGGCTTCAGGATTTGGGAGCGATTCCTGGGAGATCCAGATGTAGGGTGCAGAAGAGCAGTCTGAATAATTTGATCCTGACTATTAGTGCGAAACTGCCCTTGTTCTTTGCCAATCGATTCCTCTACCGATTCAACTGATTCAACTGCCAAACATTCGGCACCTGCAGCGCCAGGGTCGGCCATGGTCCCTGTTCCACTGATGCGGCCCGAGCCTCTGCGGAATGGGTCAAGTACGGAAGTCCGCCTGAGCCCCTCTTTGACTCCAACCGCCGGGCAGTGTCACGGAGCACGCACGGAAGCCAGAAAGGTCAAGGTGCCAATTCGAGGATACAGCTCGGAACCCCCGATTGCAGCAAGCCTTGCAGCATGATGTCCTTGATCTGAACGCCGAGCTGGGCCAACGTCAGCCCAGGCGACCAACCCTTCCCAGGGTAAGCGAGTCATGAATCTGCAGCTCCAACCCTGAAGGTGAGAATTCATGACTTGGGATGAGAGCACCTGGCTCGACAGCACCTCCATGCAGAGGGCCCCATAGGAATGAACACGAAAGCTTCCTGCAGGCACCGTCGGCTCTCTGGGCACTGGGGCCGTTTTACCGTCGGAAGTTAGGCGAGGCCCAAGGCTGCCTTGTTGTTGCTATGAAGGTAGCACTGCGGCTTATGCGGGGCGCGCCAATGCGCAAGAAAAGCGCGGGACTGCAAAGAGACTCGAAGCTGTGGATGTAATTCGCAAGAACCCCCAGGCCGTGAACGTAAACCCTGGAAGCGCCGAAGCCGAAACGAAACCTGCCCCGAGCAGTGCACCGGATTGCCTGAGTCGAAGTAAGGCTTCAGGACCCGTACTTTCGGCGGTGAGGTCGGGAAAGCATCCGGAATCCAGATCTCCAACTCCACCTTGGAAGGACTCTGCGACACCAGGCGTCCGACATTAAAAAATTTCCTGCGTCAAGCCGCCGCATCGATGTTCCAGCGCCGTAGCTGACGTCCGAACTCGCTTCCAACGTCAACACCTACACGCCAGCAATGCACTATGCCTGCTGTTGTGCATCTGTACATGTCAGGACCTGCCATATAAGGGACCTTGCGAAGCATGCGTCAGATTCAGGAAGGCTTCAAGGCTTCGGCTTTCAACACACAAAAGGCGGCCTTGCGTTAGCAGGCGCAGGGACCAGATCCGCAGGTCGCCCCCATCTGGATCACAAAGAGACAGCTCCAGCCTCACTAACTTCAAGTAGGAAGCGCTAATTCCTTCAAAGGTGGCTGGACAGCAGTCTCCACCTGATATGCTTTGCCGACATGATGCTTCAGGCGCACACTTGCCGAAAAAAGCCACATCTTGAAGTCCATGGCCCTGTTGCATTCAGCCACGGTGCCCATGCTCTCGCAGCAGCTCTTCCCTGCGTGCTTCCGTTTGCGCCAGCTCGCGAGAGAGTCTTTTCAGGCAACTCGCCGGGAGTCCTCTGAAGCCAGGGCCAGGGCAAGCCGAAATCGGAAAGCCATCGCAGCAAATCGCAGCAGTCTCTCACCGCAGATTTGGCGTTACTTGCGGACCCTTGCCCAGCGGAGCCTGGAGTTGGTGGACTCGCCTGGCGAGCAATGACGCTTCAGTTCAGCAGCCTTCAGAGATTTGTGAAACATGAGTCGGAGCCTGAGAGAGCCTGCTGGCCTGTCCCTTGTACCCTTCGCTGGCCTGTGAAAGCGCTGCATCAGGCTCCGACTGATCTTTGCTCAGAGCCTGGAAGGGACATTAGAGTTGCTTCAGACTTAGACACAACTACAAACAGAACACATCTGCTTGCAACTTCTGTCACACTCCTGTGCAGACCTCTGTGAGGGCTTGGCATCGTTTAACTAGTGAGCCCGAGTCTTCGAACGACTGTTTGTACGAGGGGGGTTCTCAGGCTATGACCCCTGATCTCAGCCCACCGCAACTTTGCTGCTCTTCGAGCAACTATGCTGTACGAGTGTTAGACCAATTACCCGAACAAGGAGGAACACGGCTCACAACCGAACTACATCCAGCACCTGGTGGACACGCTGCCACAAAGGTCTTTGAGAAAGCAGGTACAGTCTTTACGACTCCGTTCAGCCTGTAGGCCTGGAAGTCCTTGCTGCAACCTCTGCCCTGCCCCGCCTTCGGTGGCTCCGTCTCGTTGGCGGCATCCTTGACCTTCACAGCGTGGTTGCAGCTGCAGAGATCCCAAAGCAGACCACGAAAGGCTGCGTCCTCCTCCGGCGCTTCGTCTGCCAGGTCCAGACGGAGCAGGTCACGGACCTCTGAACAAAAGCTGCCAGCCGCTCTCCCGATGAAGCTTCCCCGGCCTCCTGTCGGCAAAGCGGGCAGCGGTTGCGGCCGGGTGTCATTCGCAGGGTCAAGGCGCATTGATGGCAAACGCAGAAATGGCTGCAAGGAAGCCTCAGAAGCAGAGACAGATTTATCAACAATCACCGGGAATCAGCAACACCGGCAGTATTCAAGCTTCAAGAGATGGCAATAACATGCAGATCCGACCCCCCCCCCCAGTCTTGAGTGCAGAAGAGTGGCAGAGCGGTGTTCCTGGCCTCCGTCAGGCAGACAACGCCTTAGCACCCATGAGTGCTTCAGGGCTTACTTAGGCTTACCTGGAGTCTTCATCAGGCTCTAAAGGGCCATCGCTGAGAGTTCTGGTCCTGGCGCTGCCATGCCGAGGTGCAGTTCTTGTTCGATTGCTCGTCTCCAGAGCCATGAGGCCGATGCACTTCCTGCTGCACACGGCGTGTCCCAGTCCAGCTCACTTCGTCAGAAAACTGCCCAGCAGCAACACAGAGTCTCAATTTTAGACTAGGGCATTTGGAATCGATCAGCGGGTCGGCACGTTCGAACCCATATCCTGCCACATCCTGCCCTATCAGCGAATCCAATGGACAGCTCACGAGCCTTTGCTCAGAGTCGGTCCTGGATGCCGAACAAGTCCTTAACTTCAAAGGCTGCTCCGCCGCCTCCCCAGGCGATGACCTGCTTCTCAATGCCGAGGCCTTACTTGCAGCTCGAAGAGTCTGCCGAGCAAACTTCATTCCCTGAGTCATCCTGCTGCACTGCCCTGTGACTCAGGATTCAAGCTGAGAATCCCTTGTCCAGCGACAAGCTGCAAAAGACCATTACCTCAGCTGCAGGTCTGGCGCAGCGACTGACTTGCTGGTTGACTGGTCTTGTGAATCAACACACAAGTTCTGCGAATGCCATGACGACTTTGCAAGAGTATTCCTGAGGTATCTCTACTCTACAGGCCATGACTGATGAGGACAATAATGGGGACATCGACTTCTAATTATTTTCAAAACAGCAGAGGCACGCGCGAGCATGCGCGAGCGCGCCCACCCACACACACACACACACACACACACGGCTCGGTGTGGAAAGATGGGTAAACATGTAGGATGCGATATCCAAGTCAGTCCCCTCTATTCCTGGAAGCCTGGCACAAGCCTCGTCCGACATGGTCCGACCATTTAATCAAGGCCCGCGGCCGTGCCATCTGGAGGATCCAGCACTGCAGATCCAGAACATGCGCCCGGCCGAAGCACTGCCACCCTCAGACCGAACAGTCGCAGCGACTCCGAGCCCCTCTCTTCCAAATCGGTCCCAGGGGCAGTGGCCACGTCCGCTCTCTTCGGACGGGCCGGCAGTTCTGGAAGCGGAGCTGGCTGGAACCGGCAGCAACCTGCGCACGCATCTTACAAAATCGAGAAATAGCTCTCCGAAAGAGCTCTCCGCGAAGCGTCTCAGCGCCTGTTGTCGGAAGGCGCTGCCCCCGTTCAGGCTGGGCCAGGCCCCGGCGGCCCCGGCGGCGACTTCCGCGCCCAGGCGCAGCTCGGCAAAGCCGGGCCCCGCGGCATGAAGGGAGAGCGTCACCTCAGCAACCCACCAGAGAAGGGTTTTGTTAAAAAGGCCAGCCCGACCTTCTTCCTTTCTCTCTGACGGGCCACACCGCCGTTCTCCATAGTGATGCCCTTCAGCATCAGGGAAGGCCGAACTGCAACTGCCTCATCACGGCAAGCGGATTGACAAGTCCACGCAGCAACTTTCTGCTGACAGTCTGTGCACAACTCTTCTCAGATTCAAGTGGTGTTTAGACTTTAAACCGGTTTCAAACACACGAGATCCTCAGTGTTCTGATAAACACCACCAGCCTGCTTGGTTGTTCCCAAAGAAGCAGGAAGGTCGCTTTGCCCAGACTCCTCCGGGCTCAAGGCCAGGATTAAGAACGGACCAAGATGAAAGATTGGGTAGAACATGGTAGAACCGATGTGGCTGCGAAGCATCACTAGACGAGCATGGGATGTGACAGGGAGCCGCCATACAGCTTTCGGCCACAGCCCCGAGAGATCCCGAGAGGAGCGACAGGGTGCAGGTCCTGCGAGCTCGCAGCTGTGGCCTTCAAAAGATGAGATGGTCTGGGCTACTGAAACGGCGTCATCCTCTGCTTGTGGATAGCTTGCACATCTGCTCAGTTCACTCACTTCACATTCACATCTTCTTCATGTCCTCACAAGCAGTCCTATAGCACACTGCCGAAAGATGCAGCCTGTCCATCGGTGACACGGATAATTTGCTGCTGCGGCAGGGCTGGGAGGTCCACTTCCGCTTCGGAAAGAGCGCTGCCCATGGCTTGGAAAGTCTGTCAACAAGTTGTCACGGCATGTCAGCTGTCAGCTTCTGGGCTCTCTTGCGGCTAGCAGCTGGCAGCCCAACCCGGTCCAGGGGGACTAGCAAGTCCTGCGGCCTTCGGGCTTTGTTTGAGGTGACCTGGTCCTTATGTGCAGCTTGAGCCAGAGGGTTGCGTTGGAATCGAAGGCTAGACAGCAACTTGATTAACTTCATGAGGACAGATCTTCACAAAGTGCAAGGAGCTTGTGCCAGGAGTCAGGCCATCTTCGTCAGCCGGGACTCCACCTCCTCGTCCGAGAGCCGCTCGCCTTGCATGACGAAAGATCTCTGAAGGCCGCGGGGAGGTCCGATGCTTGGCAGTGCCGGAAGCCCAGCAAAGCTCAAAGACTCAAAGGGTCCTCAAAGTTTCTCGAGACCCTTGAGCTGAGCCTGGGTGCCGGGCCTGACTTCTTGAGGATGCGGTCGCAGAAAGAAGACATCAAGGCCGCGAAGGAGAACTGCAGGGAGGAGTTTTGGGGCTCGGTGCCGGTTGCAGAAAGCTCCAGAGCCGGTACTAGAGGGGCATCCGCCAAGGCCCGGACCTTCCCAATGTCGCGGTTCACAAAGACTTCGAAGGCTGCACAGATTTCAGGTTCAGGCGAATAAAGACGTGCGAGCTAAGGCCTCACTTTCGACTGATGCGAGCCGTTTCGGGCCCGGGCCTTCTTTGAGAGACTTTTGGAAAAGGGAGTCCTGTGAGAAGCACTCGTGCACGATTCCTGCGGCTCAGGGACAGCAATCGCACCGTCAGCGTGTCCTTGCCTTGCTAAACAGTTTTCAGAACTCAGCCCTGGCCTTTGAAGCGATCATGCAAATCCAGGAGAGTCTGAATAAAGGTTGGGTCCTCGCATCTCGAACACTTGAACTCCCCCCTCTTCCGGGAAACCCTCCGAGACTCAGGCATTCAATGCTTCCGTCTTGGAGGAAACCTGCTTTTGCTGCTCCACGCGTTCGTCCACGATCTGGTTGCCCCTTCCAGGTGGCGTTTACCAAAAGAAAACAGCTGTCTCAGAGTGCAGTCCAGAGTGACTGGGACGGCCAGTACATGTTGGAGTTTGCGCAGAGGCCCCCTCAGGCCTATCAGTCACGTACTGGCGGAACGCCTGAGAAATTGGGTTCAAACCTCGGACATAGGGCCAGAGAGCTCCCTGGGCTAAAGAATCACAACGGCAGAGTTCGACCCGCAGTCGAAGATTAGCATCGAACCATTCTCGACCAGGCTGAACATGCGGTGCATTCTGGCCAAATCCTCCAAGCAATCCGCTTCATTGCATCATCTCTCCGACGAGAGAAAAAACTGGCTGCTTCAATGCATGCTGCATTGGCCACTGCTGGCCTCTCGCTTGTCATTGTCCAAAAGGTACACGACGCCTGTTTCTTTCTCCTGTGACCAAGGCAACCAGCAGCGACTGTTCGCACAAAAGAGCTTTGCACATCCGCACACACATTTTCCGGTGCAACCGGGATGGGCTGGGGCTGGAGCCAGCAACTGGTTCTGCGGCTGCTGCAGGACTGCAATAATTACTACCTCAGCTTGCCCAGAATACACTGGCATAAGAACAAGAACACACTGTCAGACAAAACGGCGATGACGTGCCCTGAACCTTCAAGATGCCGACATTCCGTAGTTTGGGAAGAGTCGTCCTGCAGGAACAAGCATGGACGTCCTTGTGAGAAAAAGCAAGATTTGGCCCCACACTCGGAGAATAGATGATACTTTGTTACACCTGATATTCGCAGGTCCGATTTTCGACTACACGTTTCACAATATCTGGAGTCACCAGAGTCATGCTGTGATATCGAATCTTCAACCTATGGCAACGTGAGCCCAACTCCTACAGCAGCATTTCTTGGCTGACAGTTCAAACCACGCTTGCGAACACAGACTCTCCATCGAAGCTGACCTAGTGCAACTTCAACCTCGAAATGGGCCGACAGTACAAGGAACTGCCCCAAGAATGAAAAACCAGGAAGACGACACAGAAACCCCCCACAAAAATCAGAGCTCTCCTGCTTAGGTAGCTGTTGCATCGCTGTTCCTCGGCCTGCAACGCCGCCTGCCGGCACAAAAAAACAACAAAGGGAAGGTGGATTTGGGGTTTAGGGTTTAGGGTTTTGGTTTAGGGGCTCACAAATCTTCGCATCGCGCCACCGGTTCGAATTTCGGGGAATTGTCGCTCGCACGAGCTCTGAGACCCTCTGCTGGAACGGCATCACGCTATCAGTTCTTGCAGACCTCGCACACGGTCACTGGCAAAGCTGAGGTCTAGTTCTGCATGAGATGTTCATATCTTTCAGGCCCGATTGGAGCAGAAGAAGAGCTTTGCTTCTGTTGGCGGATGCCTCGGCTTTGCGCAGGTACTCCGGAAAGGAGTCCTCCGACAGCCAGCCTTCGCCGAGAGAAGGCTTCCAGACTCAAGGACCTGCCTTCACAACGGAAGCGACACCTTACTCAGGCCCAGTCCTGATGCTTGCCGGACGAAGTAGCTGCTAGTGGCCGGTAGGAAAGCTTCCTTCAAACGTGTGCGAGCAAGTTCCAGGTCAAGCAGCTCTAGCATCCAGCACAGGCCTCGAATTCAGTGTTGTACAGATTCGAGCTGTTCAAGCCAAGGTCAATGAAGATCTCAATGACGCCTTCGTAGCAGAAGTGCAGGGTCACAAAATGAAAAGCTCATGCGGCAATGGCAGCAGCCTGCAATTGCTGCTGCAAGGGCATTGAGTGAAAACCAGCTACGAGTTGTCTGCACTGGCCAGCAATCGTTGCACCGTGTGCAGCAATCGGACAGCGACTTTACAACAAGGACTCCCCTCCCTGAAAGGTGGAGGGCCTTTGACAAGATCCTGGTCGATGTGCTCGCCTCGCTTTCAGAGGGGGCAATGAGGGAGCCAGGAGTACAGAAGTCGCGGGGACTGCACTTGGTGCCTTGTCGCTCCTGATTGATGACCTTCAACAGTGCTGATCGAGTGTCCTTGATAACGCTCGTGAACACCTGGTCGAGCAATCGCTACGAGGAAGGGCTTGCAACTTACTTCGCAACCCTTTCATCGGAAAGCACGGGACTGTGTCCCCACACGACACAAAACAAAACACTGTCCTTGCAAACTGGATGAAACATCACAAAGCTGAGATCTGTGTAGCAGACAAGCTCCTCATGCATAACACATGCCAACGAGCCTGTTGATTGAAGATGCTGTAGCCCCTGTTATGCAGAGGTTCCACGGATTGGAGCTTGACGTAGTACCGGTCCTGCCAGCTTTTCAGCCGCCGTGCCGCCGTTCCCTCACCCTCAAGGTGCATGCAACATGACAGCGAGGTCTTGAGACTCTCCGTGATTGCAGCATTTTCTTATGCGAAATGGAAGCGGGCGCACCAGGTAGGTGAAGAATCTGTCCATCCACTTCACATACAGCTTGTGATTGATCCACCTGTCCGAGTCTTCCGTGTGCCAGTCAAACCCACCGGACCCAACCCAGAGCATTCGGTGCCTGTGCAGTAGTTCCTTCATCAACGGGACGTCCGTCTTGTCTTTCAGGGCTGGCAGGACCTGGCAGGGTTCAGGAGCTTGGAGTAGAGAACTCTTCTGCAACGGATGGGTGAGTAATGCCACAGACGTCCGCCGAGGCATGCATGAATTCTGTTTGTAGGCTTGGCTGCGGTCATGCATCGTTGCAAGGATGACTAATGCAGACAGTTCGTCTTAGTGATCTTAGTGGAGTGGGGCCTTATATACCACGACTCCGAAACGGTTCATGCTACGCTGTAAGCGAGTGTGCCTGGCGCTGCACGTAGTCCGACATCGCCTCGCCGTATCGCCGATAAAGCTGCTCAGACCTGGCTAAAGCGCAGGACTGCCTCATCCTTTCCTGCCTTGGTTCGCGTTGCTGCTGCTTTGTGCATGGTGGCTGAGCTGTGGTGGAGTGAGCAGGCATCTAAACGGCTAGGAGCTTCTGAAACACTCAAAAGCGATCTGTCTCGAGCTTTTGCATCGAAGAAAGGCTTCGAGTAGTTCGGGCTCTGAATCCAAACCCTCCCGATAAGGAGCGAAGCCGGTGCATCCTGCTTACATTGAAATGACCCTAATATACGCAGTATGAGGCGCATAAGCACCATGATCACATGCCTTCACTGAATTCCAACCATGTCCAGCTCAGAAAACCCGAACGGGCATGGACGAAGTCAACAAGGCCGTGCCCAGGCGCACCAGTTGTTCGGCGTTCGCTGAGTGCACATGTTGTACACCGTCCTCAGATATACTTAACGAAGTAGCTGGGCATCAGAAGCCCATTCCTTTCTCCTCAGTCGCTGGCGTATACAATTCTGCATAATTGGCTTTGCTGAAGACATTGCGTGGCTTCTGCGGATCTGCGTTCTGCGGCACCTCAGAGACTCAGAGCCCAGGTATGTCTCAGTCGCGACAGGTCGAAGGCATCCGTTTCAAGGGCCCTGCTGTTGATCTTATATGTCCGGTATCCAGAAACTCTTCTAGTACCTTCGTGAGATGCCCAGGTACTGCTTCGGAAACTTGGGCGAGGAGAAACCCATTGGCCTTAATCCCTTCGTTCTTTATCTTCTCCCATCCGTCCTGCAAGTCATGCAAATTTCTGAAAGGAACTCGCAAATCCAGCATAGGTCCTCCAGTGGGACGATGCTGCCGACTGACCTAGAGAAAAATGATTTCAGCGAAACCCACTGCAGGGCATCTCACGGAAGGTTTCCTCGCGCACCAGTTTGAGTGCCTCACATATCTACCTCGACGTCCCCGGAGCCACGTGACTGCTAAACTTCAACAAACCGGACCACTACAAAGACTCAACTTGAGCCAAATGTCAGAACAGGACTCTGTAGCTTGTTACGCGCTGCCTGCAACCTATGCCCAAACGCTGCGGCCACAAATGCTCGGGAACTGCCCACAAACTATCGCTTTTCTTCGGCGTCTCAGGACTGCTCATTGCTTGGTGGGTGCATACGCCGTCAGCTCTCCCGGCGCCTCCCAGTCGTCGATTGTTGAGTTCAGCGATGCAAAAAATTAGCTTCATCCGGCCATCCCAGCATGTCGTGAGCTTTTTTGCTTGGATCTGGCATCAGGTGCCTGCTCCCGCCCCTGCGCTCCCTGGACACTGAGAATCTGTTGTAGTAGATCAGAGTGGCCCGGGAGGCTGTACAAGGCAGATCCACCACTACCGGCTGCCTGCCACATTAAAGACGGCTCCGCAGGCAATTCTGCTGCTGCATGTTGCTGCACGTCAGAAATGGGCCCGCAGGCTGTATGCCTATGTATGCCTGCTGGCCCCAAAACTGGTCGAAAAAGCAGATCCTTGAAACCTCAGGCAACCGACCCCCCGGCCGGCGAGTTCCGAAACGGCCAGGCTTCCGGTACCATCGGATCTGGGAGTGAGGACGACTCCTGGCTCTTAGGGCACACCAAGAGCCTCGCTGAAGGCCGTCACGATGGGGGAGCCGTTGATGAAATCATCCTCATGAAGTCACAGTATGGTGGAATATGGTGGACCCCATCACGACAGGTACCCTAAACCCTAACTTTCGCTGCAGGCCCGTCCTCAGGCAGATCCCAAAGCAATCCTCCGATCAACCCATTCTCCTTGATGAAGGCCGCCTTGCATCGAACGCTTTCTTCGTCATCGAAGCCCATCCAAAGATCATCCTTCTGTAGATAGGCTCCGCAACGAGCAGCATCATATGTCTTCTCAGCGCCCTCGCTCAGTAGGGTGAGGATCTCATAGTAGCTCGCAAGCCCCACTTGCTTGCTGTAAGGCTGAGTGGCTCCATATCCCTGTCCTGCCGCTCCCGGACCCTGACCGGGCGTGCTGCTCTGCAGCTGGAAACTGCGGCTGTACGTCACCAGCCCGAGTGCCAATTTGCTCACACCTAGGAAACTCCGGAACAATCTAGGCTGCGACACACTCTCTACATAAGCAAAGTGTTGCAAGGAGCCAGAAGCGACCCGATCAAAGCCTGAGGCGACCACTGGCGCCTCGCGCGATCCAGTCTTTGACTACATACGCACCGCTCAACGGAATCCCATCCCCAAATGAGTCTCCCTCGCCGGCATAGAGCTGGCTGTGAATGGCAGTCTTCTCCGGACTCCAGCCGCCGTACATGTCATACGTCATCAAGTTGATGAAATCCAAAGTCTCGTCAAGAGCGGGCACATCGTACGCGTTATCCGCAGTGCTGGGCCCAATGCCCACCGCTGCCGTCAGCAGCAGCGCCTTCCTACCGGAGGCTGCACCTTCGGCGTCGAAGGCAGCCCGAAGCTCGCGCAAGAGCGTTGCAAAGTTGGCCTTGTCCGTGACACGGCCACCACGGCCAATGAAGCCCGGATACTCCCAATCCAAGTCCAGGCCATCAAAACCCCAGGTGCGACAGAAGTCAATGGAAGATTCCACGAACTTCTGGCGGTTTCCAGCTGTGCTCACCATATCCGAGAAGACATACTCCGTCCAACCGGCATCGAGCCGCGACATGCGCCTGGCGCTCTCGGCGTCCTCACTGGCCGGCAGGTTGAAGGACCAGCCACCGATTGAGATCAACGTCTTGAGGTGCGGGTGCGCCACCTGAAAGCACAAAGCGCCCCCCAAATGTCTTCTTCGACTTCAGAAATCTTAAGAAACGCTTTAGGCTTTGGGCAGATTTGGGCCTTGAGATCGTTCACTTGCTCGTAGAGGCCCTTGGTACAGCCTGCGGGCTGCTGGCTGCAAGGTACCTCCCAGTTGCCGGTTCCCCAGTTGCTCACATCATTATCCTCAAAGTGCCGGATCTTGAAGGTACTGCTGTGGATCATGGCGAAGGCATAGTTGAGATGTGTTATCTTGTCTGCTGCAATGTTGGACGGCATGAACTTGTACGGGGCCGGCCACCACTGAAACCAATTCGCAAAGTATGCCACGAAAATCTTGCCACTTGTGCCACTGGGCTGTGTCGTTGCAAGAGTTGTGGATGTGGCTTCAACCGCTGATGTGGAAGTTGTCCCCATGGACGTAGACACTGTGGTTGAGCTGCTGGATTCAGTCGCCGTCGTTGTGATTCCAGCTGTCGTGGGGGCCGTGACGCATTCCACATTGACACTCCAGTCGCAGTTCTTCAGGTCGGAATTAAAGCGCTGACCCGGGACACAAAGCTGCATGGGCTCGTCTCCATGAAAGCAGTTGAAATATCCTCGGCAGTCTTCATTTCCGGCCATGTCAACCGGGGCCGCATACAAGCCAACCTTCCCACTGCAGAACTCGCTCGGATCAGTTGGTGAACTCGTTGATGGAGACGAGGACACAGAGCTCTGTGTTGTAGCTGCCTGCGTAGTCGTCCCGGGAGCAAGAGTCGTGGTCTGCACGCTGTCGCAAGCGACATTCCTCTTCCAGTCACAATTCTTTGTCGCTGGGTTGAAGCGACGGCCGCTGCCGCAAAGCTGCATAGCCTCGTTGCCGTGGAAGCAGTTGTAGTAACCCTGGCAATCCACGTTGCCATCTGCGTCGGCAGGTGCTGCAAAAAGGCCTGTCTTGCCCTGGCAGAAGTCGTCGAAGAGCGAAGCCTTCTTCTGCAGCAAGTTCCTGTACTGCACGAAGCCGGCGCCAGCAGTGCCTGCAGTGCCCGCCTGCGGAAAACTCCCGCAAAACAGTCCCTCGTCTATGACACTGTGAACTTCCCTCACGTGCCATGTTCGTTCGCTTCGCACTTTCGACAGTGAGCTGCCACATTAGCGAGTGTGCACATGACCTTACATCTTACTAGCTGGTTTAAAGTGATGCTCTTATTGCCGCCTAGACGACACAAAACTGCCCATCTCGAAAGAGGAGAGGTTCTAGAGTTCCCCGCCCAGCCCCACCTGCGGGTCCAGCTCAAGCTCTGCTGCCGCAATGCCAAGTCCAAGGAGCAGACGTAGCATTGGCCCCGGCGAACAGCACGGTGTTCAAAGGTTTCAATCGGCCTCCTTTGAGCCTAGATCTGAAGACTGGATCTTTATCATCTTTGAAGCAAGAGGCTGAAGGAGCAAGCTAAAGGAACGTAGATGATGGCGAGAAGCTTGCGAAGGCCTGCTCGCCCGGAGCATCTGGTCATCTGCTAGACGAAGAGCCTTAGAAAACGGGACGTGCGGACATGCGGTCATCGCATGTCCGCGTGACTTCAGTCTGACGAGGTGGTGAGGTTTCTCGTACTCGTCCAAACTGGACACTTCCCGAAGCTGGATGGCCTACTTACCACGCCACATCTGCACGATGCAGGCCTCGATTCTAGAGGTTCGGCTGCAGCTGAAGACACATACAGAGTCAGACTCACACAGAGTTAGTCTGGTCTGATGTCGCGTTGGCTTCTTTTTCGCCTTGACTCCGACCTTAGGTCTGCAATCAAGCCGCCTTCCTGCATCAGTGTCAGCGTAGCCTGTTTCTGATACAATGGTCTGCACCAGCATGCGAACAACGTTGCTGTTCTGCACACTGGGAGCACCTGTATACTCTTTCCACAGGAAAAAGCCATGCCAGAAAAGAATCTGCATGGATAGAGATGCTACACATACATTTCCACAGCAGTTTGTCTGTTTCGTCACTGTATCCATATCTTTACACCACAGCCTAAAAGATGGCAGGCGTTCCTGGAAAGAGCTACACACTTTGGAACTTTGGCTGACACGGAACCGTGCGATGCATGCACTCATGTCAATCACATGGTGACAACCACATAGCCGATTCCTATGAAAGAATGGCACATAAAGGACGTATTTGATGGGCGAGTCGAGCATGGGTCGAGACGCCAGTTGTGTATAACATTGAAACAAGCTGAGAGCTTGGAACTCAAAGTGCCGTCTTGCTGGGAATACCGTCAGACGTGCCTGCACTAGTCTGTCTGTCACTGAGTGCCACATCTGACTTATGTGGAACGGCATCCTCAAGCGGATGATCAGGCTTGGCACCACCAGCCTCCAGCTGGTCGAAAGTGGCTTCCTCAGCCTGAAGGTCCACCTGGGTCAGACTGGCTTCCTTCGCTGCCTCCGCGTCTGGAACATTGCGAGGATCACGCAGTTTCCGCGGCGACTCGCTTTCAAAAAAGGACTTGTTCGGAGGCAGCTCATCCAAGCCGTGTCTCTTTACATACCGGTTCAGAACAAGGCGAAAGACAAAGGGTGCAACAACGGTGGCCCACAGTAACGCCCAGATTACAATCGAGAACATCTCCTCATCCAGCATGTTGGAAGCTGCAGCCATTTGCGCAATCAAGTATGCAAACTCGGCTCGGCCGACCATTGCCCAGCCAATCACCCATCTAGCCTCTCCCATGAAGGGAGCACACAGCACTTTTGTCATGATGCAGGCGACCACACCCATGATGCTACCTTTCCATAAAGCCTCCACGGAGAGCAGCTGAGAGATGGGGATTGAGAACGCTACGGTGCAGGCAAAAAAGATTCTGATCATCCAAGACGTCACCCGCTTGGTCTGCCGGACCCACACATGATGGGCATGGTGTGGTGGGTCCAAGGTCGCGAAAGACATGCCGGCAACGAAACAACCCCACAAATGGGTTCCAAGGAAGTGCGTTATGACAGCGTAGATGAGCAGCAAGGCGAACATCAGAAAGAACAGCACCTCGTCCGTCCGGGCAACCTTTGCGCCCTCCTTGGCAGGAACTTTGGGCAACAGCCAACCATTGATGAATCTTGGCCAACAGCGCACTGCCAGGACCGTGGCGAAAACCATCAGGGCAACGCCCAAAACTGGGTTCACCACCACTGCAACAATGTCAAACTCTCCTCCCAACGAGAAGAGCACCTGGGATGCAGGCCTAAACAATTACCAATACGATTTTTGTTTTAGGGGGGTCCTTATTATAGTAGACTATACCCCAAAACTCTATTCTAATTATTATGGCATATTAATGGAAAATGCATGGAAACTGCAAATTATGGCAGAGAGGCTCGGAGACCACACAAAGGGAGCACGACAAGACAAGCAGCGTGTCCCTACTACTGGCCACTTTAGGTACTTGGAGGCTCGAACACTGTGGGCCGGATGGCAAAAGTACTGGATTCTACTTGGCTCAGTGGAAGCAGGGGCCCTCATCATCCCTTTGCTTCTAATGCCTTTTAACTAACTATTTTCCATACATGGTGATAGCACGCTGCTTGGGGAATCCAAAAAATCTTTTTATAGAAGGCTCAGCGTGAAGGCACATTGAATAGGATCAGGGACAGGATGTCGTCTACGAAGGCAGCGGTGATGATCGCCTGCCCGAAATTCTCCTTCAAGACCCCGGCCTCCCCCAACAACCGCAAAGCGATGCCAACACTGGTTGGCGCTAGAGCAGTGCCCGCGGCCACCCCTGTAGGGAAGGCGGGGAATCCGAAAGCCACGGTAAGTAGAGTCCCTGCCAGCAACGGCAGAACCGTTCCCAAGACCGCCACGATACAGGATTTCAGGCCCACCACCTGGCAGGGGTTAAGACAAGTGCATATCGAAGGTGAAACGAGTAAGTGAGCAGGAGGATGCTGTGACTGCTCGAAAAACTCCCACCTTGGCTTTCTGGAAATCGAAGTGCATGCCACTTTCAAAGATCATGAGCGCGACGCCAGCATGGCCGATGAGGGTGAAGACATCCGGCGTCAATTGACACCCATGGTTGATCTCTGCATGACAGCTCTTCTCAAGGCACTCTTCGTAGCTGTGGTAACTACCCCCGGCCAGACGGCGATGTGGGTCACTCTGACTCTGGGCCTGAACGGCATAGTCCTCCGGGTGGCAGAGACCCTTCTCCTGGATCGCCTTCAAGTGGTCCGTCAGCGAGGAAAGATCTACCAACTCGCACTCTTTGGCATGCCTGACGCAGACAACCGAGCATCGTCAAACAACCCCTAGATGTCGTCTAGTGTTCAACAGCTGTCAGGATCCTTTTTTTGTCACTGGCCTCGCATGCGAACACTGGGAGTACTCTGAGGTGATGAGGCCACCCATCTCGGGCCCTAAGAGCACGCCCGTCGCGATGACCAGGACTATATCAGAGATGCCCAACGCCTGAGACACCTTCGACGCTGTCCAGGAAGCACCCAAGAAGCCGGTGATGGCAAGCATGGCAACGAACGAGCTTGCCCCCCCCATGGCCAACAATGCACAGCGTTGAGACTGTTGCGACCACTATCTGCTCGAGCCAACTGCTGCGTGAGTTGCAAAACTCACATACCTCAACGCTCAGGCCTCCAAGGTCACCACATGCAGGAGGCCAGAGCTACAGCAACATCCGTGCTCCAATGCATGGCTTGGAGCAAGGCAGTGGCCGGCGCCTTCCACCAAACCCCGACCGCACAGGAATGTTGGTGAATCACCGCCTGGGCAAGACCACCGGGCGGTGTCAAAAAAAGCAGCTTTCAGACATGCTGCTGTTGCTTCTCATCTTGCTGACCGCGCTAGAGTCACTAGAGTTGTGCAGGTGCACCAGCAAACTGCTCTATAAACGTCTCCTATCGACGTGTCACTCGATTGTTGATTCTTGTCGTCCCTCACAGCATTTGTGGAGACCGGCGCACCTGGTGACATCGCAGGAAGAAGGCTGAACAGCTGTGATGCGCTTTTGTTCGTCAACAACATGACCTCTCAAGCTCAGCTTGCAACTACCATACTTGTTCCAGGACATTGGGTTAAAGCTGCATCACGACGAAGAAGGGTGACATTGGAACGCTACACAGCGGCAAAGATCCAAAAGGAACTGAGCAAATCGATCGCATCAACCTTTCTCGGATCTTGCATCTTCCAATCCTCCCAGAACTTTGGAAGCACTTACTTTACAGTTCACACAGGTTACCCATGGTTACCCTACAACGACTGCAGGCATGCAAGGCGACTCGGGCTTGCTGGACGCACGTCGGTGTCCGCGTTATGTCTAGATTCATGAGGGCTGCGCTGTACAGATGGTGACCTTGATGTGCAGAGACTGGCGAAGGTTAGAGCGGGAGATGTCCCCTCGAAACACCTTGACAGTCCAAAAGGGAGGCTTCCCATGAGCATCAACATGGCTCTCCTCCGAGCCTTCTGTTCCTCATGGGCTTTAACCGCACAGTTCAGGAACGTTGAAAACTTATGGCGCTATGGGCCGGCCTATGCTCGATCACGCAGCATGCCCTCAGTCCAGCTCGCCAAAACTTGGGCCACCTTTCCGGCAATGGCGCCCACCTGCTTGTTCTTCACGAAGTATTCCTCAAGACTTCGAGAGAGTCCAAGCATTTGGAATTGTCTGCCGTGCCACTACGACAGTACAGGAGACTGCAGTTTGCCAAGCTTTGACTCGAAGGTTCGTTCGTGAGATGGCTCAGAGTGACACAGATGGCAAGGTAGAACCTTGGCACGAACCGTTCGGCCAAAGATGCACGTCTGACACACCATTGTGCTTCCATGGATCGGGAAGAAGCTTGTCGACATGGGCCCGCCCCACAGCTTCTTTGCCAGCACCTGTGTGGCTTTCAGGTATGCTGCTACCGGTCGATGCATAGCCACGAATGCCCTGTGCTGGGTCTCACCTTCTTGTAGAAGATCTGCCCAATGGGTCCATGCCTGCAGCACAAGACGGCACGAATACACTTGTTCAGAATGAGCATACTCAGAAAGTGCGAGCTTCTAGGCCCCAAATGCACCAGGGTGCAGAATGAACATGGGGAAGGCAATTGAGCCAAGCGTGACCATGGGCTTGGAACCGAAGAACTTCGTGATGGGGGCCTAAGACTTCCAGTGAAGCGGCCAACTGCAAACTGCTTCAACACATGCTGCTGTCGAGGAACCGGATCAGCACTCAAAGCGTCCCGGTGCATTTGGGTCAGGAACTTTGTGAAGAGCGGCACAAACAGCACTCCTCTGATAATGGCATCCTCAGCGCCGAAAACGAAGGTCCGCTTGAACACTTTGCTTCGGATCTTCAGCAATGAGAAGGGGACACAAGCAGCTACACATGACTCGGCCATGAGGATCGGGCGTTGAAATCGAACCTAGTCAGCCGCAGCCCCAGCGATGCGTAGGCCGCCAGGAAAAGCCACAGCGGATTCCTTACGAAGGGACACCGAACTTCCAGGGAGTACGATGATTAGCAGCATCTCTTTGTAACGTCAAAAGCACCTGCAAAACTCTGCGATTTTCTCCAGGTAACATTGGCTTCTTCTTCTTGTCTTCCTCTGTGTCCAGCATCACATGCCTGGCTGCCACAATACCCATTGTCATCTCGATCAGCGCCCAGAAGGGGTGGAAGCGGGTCAAGTTCCAGATCCTTTGTTTCTAAGCACGATTGTAAGTCTAGGCTGAAGCTGCCTGTTGCCAGCCACGAGCTGTGCCCCGCACAATGGATGCATCACCTGTCCGTTGACCTCGGGCAAGGCAAGTGGCCGTCAAGCCGCGCAAAGACTAAAGAGACTGCCTTCCCCATGAGATCAACTAAGCCACTGGGTGCTCCTTGCTGCTATGGAAACGAGCAGTTTCCGAGTAAGATACCTGCAACACAGACTTCAACCTGAAACAAACAGCAAAGCTCAAAAACCACGAGCCTTCTGTAGCAGAGAGATGCCCGTCAAGGCTGCGAACAGCTTCTGCAGACCTCGGCTGAAAGGCACTCATCGAAGATCGAAGATGCAAGACTTACGATCTATGCTCCGAGGGGCCGTTCTTGGACAGCTGCGCAACCTGCGGCAGCACCAGCGTCGGCATGGTGAGGTTCGAGAACGTCAGGGCCGACAAAAACCTGCTCGTGGCAGGAAGCGGCCTCAAGAAACCTGTTGCCCCCTTGGCTGGGTCCGGAACCAGGTGGGCTGATTCCAGATCTCTGCTTCCTTGGGGAACCAAGCCTGGCCAAAAGGACTCCGGCGTTTCCCGGCGGAGCTGTGCAACTGCACGGCTGCCTGCAGCATGCTGAAGTTCAGGAAGGCGCGGAAGGCGGTCGTGGTCCAGGGAGTGTTGTACCACCTGCTCCGCTGGCATTCCATGTTGGCACAGAAACAACCGCAGGTCAAACATTAAGAGTCGACCCTTGCAACCCATGTATCACTGGCAGTGCCCACGCGGCTTGCCAGAATCCCGAAGTTATGACAAAACTCAAATTTGGGTGTGTGTGCGTGTGTGCCTCACTGACCCGAGGGAGCTGAGAGTGACATCATCACTTTCGTATGCAGGGGACAGGGAGCATACAGGGATTTTGTTCAACAGAGGGCCTTTTCCGAGCATGTCAACATACTTGCATGCTGCATGGCGCAGCTGGAGAGCATCATTTCGCTCATCTGCGTTTATCTGTAGGAGGTGTGGTATGGGTGCAATCTATCTCTGGCCAATTGCACCTGCTAGCTGGTGGCTAGTGTCTTCCAGGGATACTTTGATGACTATCGGGGAAGCATGATGCAGGAAAAATGCCCAGATGTCGCTTCTCATCTTCGTTGTGCAGATGGAGCTGCAGATGCAGAGGCACCCTTATGTGAAAATCCCTCACTGTTGCAGCGCCTTTATTTACACTGTCCCGCATACTGGTGGTAAGTAGGCTCTGCGAGCAGCGACTGCCAACAAAGGATGGTGTCGGGGCGGCTGTCATACCAAAACATTCGACCTGGTATAAAAAGTCTGGGAGATGTGTTCAGGCCTCTCCACCTGTATGAACATCGGAGCAAAGATTGCTGACATGACAAAGTGCAGAGGGTAGTAGGCCATGACCTAAGGTCAATGCCGACGGCACTCGTGTTGGAGAGCTGAGTTGCGTTGCACGCTACATCACATGGAAAGGCCGCGGCCCTCTGCCAGAAGAAGAGCTCAGGGTTGGCCAGCTTCTTGTCCTCTGCCTTCCGCTCGCCTAGCTTCGTGGAGGTGTAAGCAGACACCTGGGTCGCAAAAACGACTCAGAGAGAGCGTCTGCTTTCGGCACTGTTAGGACCGCGGCATATCCTGAGATGACAAAGAAGCCTCCCACGAGCACGTTCTCCTGCGTTAGCAGCTTCAGCGCCGTCAGATTGTTGGTGCCAAACCTGACACAACAAGGGGCTCGACTGCCAATGGATTTCAACTTTTTATACCGAACTCGCACATTGCCCCGTACATTCTGAGCATCTCTTCGTCGCTCTCTGTCTCAACCAAGCACCCAGAAGGACAATTCAGAGGTGTCAGAGAACCATGTGGCACCCCTGCGAACCTCGCAAAGTGCGCAATGACGATGGGGAAGACCAGCGCAAAGCGGCAGCCGTCAATGCAGTCAATCCGAGGCTTCGAGACCTCCGATCAAGACAGCCCTGCATCTGACGATCTGACTCCGTGCATGATATGAAGCATCCGCGTATGTAAGCATGCATGTAGGTATGTAGGTATGTACGTATGCATGTATGTACAGTATGTATGTGTGTATGTATGTATGTATGTATGTATGTAAGTATGTATGTATGCATGTAGGTTTGTATGTATGTATGTATGTATGTATGTATGTATGTATGTATGTATGTATGTAAGTATGCATGTATGTATGCATGTAGGTATGTACGTATGCATGTATGTACAGTATGTAAGTATGTATGTATGTATGTATGTATGTATGTATGTATGTATGTATGTACGTATGTATGTATGTATTTATGTGTGTATGTATGTATGTATGTATGTATGTATGTATGTATGTATGTATGTATTTACAGTATGTATGTATGTATGTATGTATGTATGTACGTACGTTCGTTCGTATGTATGTGTGTGTGTGTATGTATGTGCATGTATATGTATATGTATATGTATATGTATATGTATGTGTATATATACATATACATCTCTATATATATGTATATATATATATATGTATATATATATGTATATATATATATGTGTGTATATATATATATATATGTATATGTATGTGTATATATATATACATATTTTTGTTTGATTGCTTTGTTTGTTTGCTTGATTGTTTTTTTGTGTCGAAAGCACTCTATATATATATACATAGAAGAGACATATATGTGGCTCGTTCACATGCAGTCTCTTCAGGGTCGTCTGCAAGCACGCCTTCACCGGCTTGACTTCCTGCTTCGAGTCTGGTGGCATTGCCATGGCCTTTGCGTCAGCCTGGCAAGACATCCCATTTAATGTAGCACGGTGCATGGCCTCATTTCTGCTTGATTCTGTCGTCCGCACGGATCATGCTGCCAGGTCGCATCGATCTTTTGCGGCACGGTGCTCATGTCGAGGATCCTTTGCTGAAGTTGACACCGAAAACACGGAGAAGTTGCCTTACTCAACTGTCCAGGGCACGGCAATGGGCCAGGATCTGCAGAGGCCAAAGCTGCAGAAGGGACTGAAATACACTGCTGCTGCACCAGAGCCAAAACAACAGCTAACGAATGCCGCCAGGCCCAGTGGGCTTGCAAAAACCAGAAACAGACTTCGAGCTGCAGATCAAGACTGCAAGTTTGTTTGGCCACCGCTCGGAGGAGTCTAGGACAAGGGGAGATGAAACTTTAAGGGCTCTTTGACCCGAAGAATCTCATAGGAGACCTTGGGCATGCCACGATGAGAGGCTTGGCGGCTGATCGATTTGCAGCTGAAGCGAATGCTTGAGGAGCTTGAGGAGTTTCAGGGCGCATGTGGACCCTAGTCTACACAGTCTACACAGGCAATAGGCACGCTGGCATGCGGAGCTACCTGTTTGTTATACACACGCATACGTAACCACCCGAACATCCATCCATCTTTCCTTTTGTTGTTGGACACTGGCGCTGAGGCTAGTTGATGGGTCTCAGAGTTTCTCATGGCGACCCCCGGGCTGAACCTTCATCCGTGCAGCGTTTCCGGAGTAAATGGACAAGCCGATAGTGGCAGCATGGCACCCGTTAAGCTCCGACAAAGGGAAATTGCACCATAGCCAAACACGCGCACCTCGTTTACCAAATGCCTTCTCCCAGGCCGACGCGCCATATCCCGAAAGAGAAGGCCCTGGCTTTCCATGGCTCGAATCAGTTCCGGGTGCCCAAAAGCGCTATCTCCCCTTTGCTTAGCACAAGCTGCACGACTGCGTGGCTCGTGCCTGACCATGTTCATGATTCTGTGCTTGCTTTGCTTATTGCTCTGCCTAGGCTTAGGGCACTGGGCCGCACTTCCGCATAGTGCAACTGAGTCAGAGAACATGCAAGAAATTCACCCCTCTCCATTGTATGTAACCAACAGTCGGTAACGGTCCACAGTAACGTTGCAATGTTGCAAGACAAAAGCCGATGGTTGGCCAAAGATTTGGTTGAAATCAACGATTCTTCTATATGCCCATGTCAACATGTGCATCTGGATGCCTTCTGTGCGACGCCACTATTCTTCAAGCCAAAGCTGGGGCAGACATCGAAAGGCATGCCGCAGATCTCAGATCTGCCAGACTCTTGCCCGGCAATGCATCGTCAAGCCCATCTCTGTCTTCTTTAAACATGCGCGTATCCGGAGCATCAACGAGTCACGCTCGTCGTTCCTCTTCGGTGACGCTCATGGTTCAAAATTAAGAACGATCCCGTAACATGCCCTCAGTCCATTCTCCAAGCGTAACTGCCATCTTGCCGGACACTTCGCCCACCTTCTTGCTCTTGACGAAAAACTCCTCGGTACAAGAGCTTCTGCTTCTCCGATCATGCCCAGTGCCAGCCAGAACATGCGGAGACATGGAGTCCGGATGTTTACGACATACTCCCTATGTGCTATGCAAAGCTTCGTTGGTGAGGTGGCTCAAGGCCAAGCAAATGAGCAAATAACACCTCGGCAGTGCAACAACACGAATTGTCAACGCACAATCCACATGGACAGTGACAAAGGACGGGAAGAATCTCGTCGACATTGGTCCGCCCCATAGTTTTTTCGCGAGTATCTCAGCAGCCAGGACCCACGACCAGCTCTCAACATTTGTGTTTTTGTCTCCCCTTGCCTTCTTGTAGAAGATCTGCCCGATAGGACCATGCCTCACACATGGGATGTTGTATCAATCTCGCCTCGATTTCACAACTCTGCCAGAAACTTGGCCGAGCACAGGATGAACATCGGGAAGGCGATCGAGCCCAGCGTGGCCATTGGCTTGGATTTGAAAAATCGCGTGATGGGCGCCTGTCAGCAGTACGAGTGCCGTTGCTAAGCGACGCAGCCTTTTCCCGGTGTCTCCAACTGCCGGTCAAGTCTCAGGATTGGCCGAGAGGGAATCCCTGTGGATCTGCGTCAAAAACTTCGTCCACATGGGCACAAAAAGCACGCCACGAATGATGGCATCCTTAACACAAGCTCCATCCAGGCACTTACGTTAGATGATCGATCCCAGGGTTGAGGTTGCGTCGTTGAAGTCAAAAGTAGTCAGACGCAAGCCCAAGGAGGCAAAAGATGCCAAGAACAGCCAGATGGGATTCCTGGGCAGGAAAGCATTCTCAAACACACTTGCACCAATCACTAGTCACTATTCAGCCTGTCGCCGGCGACATCCCACGTGCACATGATTCGAGCAAGAATCGTCGTTGGCTTCTTCTTGTCCTCCTCGGTGTCCAGCATGACGTCCCGAACAGCTGCCACGCCCATTGTCATTTCGATGAGGGCCCAGAAAGGATGGAAGCGCGTCAAGTTCCAGATCCTACTCTTGGCACCGACAAGAACAGCAACTTGCAATGCAAGACCTTCAACCGCTGAGATGGGGACAATGGGTACATAACCTTTCCATCCACCTCAGCTCCACGACAAAAAAAAACTTAAACTGCCATTCCACGCACAACAATGTTTCAACGAAGACTTTGGAACCCTTTGCAACTTACGAAGATACCCTAAACTTTCCCTAAACCCTAAACCCTAAACCATGGTCTCGGGCATCTTTTTGCTAAGGAACAGGATGCTCTTTGCTGCTGTGGAATCGGGAGGTCTCCGAGTAAGAGACCTCCGAGGCAACGCTCAGCACAGCACTGTGTTTTTGTGGTTACCACTAATACTATTACTATTACTATTACTATTACAATTACAATTACAATTACTATTACTATTACTATTACTATTACATCGAGGCTCAACAGGAGTCACCCTGCCTTCTGCAGAAGTGAAATGCCAGTCAAAGCAGCAAAAAGCTTCCGCAGCCCTTGGATGTCCAGCATGCTCTGTGCTTTCGGGCTGGCAGAGGCGCGAAAGCCTTCCAATAGCCGCCAAGTTACCAGACTTCGAGAGTTGCGCCACCTGTGGGAGCACGAACGTGGGCATGGTGAGGTTGGAGAAGGTAAGTACAGAGAGAAACCTGGGCAGCCGCAGTGAGCGAAAAGGATTCTACTGCGCTGCTTAGTCTGCGCACACCTGGGAATCTGGGCCGCCGGCCATGTGGGCTGATTCCAAATTTCAGCCTCTTTCGGGAACCACGCCTCGCACGAGTTGAAACCACCACATGGAAGACAAGCTTGCTGCGGGCATCAAGTCTTCTGCGCCGAGCCTGTAGCATACTGAAGTTCAAAAATGCATGGAATGCTGTCATTGTCCATGGGGTGTTGTACCACCTGTGAACTCCAGCGGATGGTGCAATGTGCTCGCGTGCTTCTACCACGACATCACGCTCATGGATTGCAAAGCATTGAAACACGTTAAGGCCTTTCAACTTGAATGAACATAGGTGCAAAAATCGCTGAGACCACAAAGTGGAGCGGATAGTATGCCATGACCTCAGAGCTACCACATGCCGCAGGCAATTGCTGTGCAAGACTTGCGTCCGAAGCACTGGCACCAAGTGAACCGATTTTCAAGCTCAGTGCTGCCAAGTGCTATCGAGAAGCCTTCTGCCAAAAGAACAACTCTGGATTGGCAAGTTTCTTGTCCTCCGCCTTCCGCTCGCCAAGCTTTGTCGATGTGTAGGCATTTACCTCGTTGCACAGAAAACATGCACATGCAGCAAGCGAACGATCTGGCAGCCTGGCATGTCATGTCACAACGACCTCAACACTTATTCGACTAGTGTAGATTGCATGTAAACACCTGGTGAAGGAACCTGCAAATGCTGCTGGGCACCAGGCATATCCGGAAATGACGAAAAAACCGCCCACCAACACATTTTCTTGCGTCAGAAGCTTCAACATTGTCGTGTTGTTGGTGCCGAACCTGTCCAAGAACGAACCATGATGTGATCAAGCCGTGGCAGAAGCTGGCACAAGATTCTGAAAAGCATCGCAAGGAGACCGGTGCCTCGCAAAGTGCGCAATCACGATCGGAAAAACTAAAGCAAATCTGCATCCATCAAGGCAATCAATTCGTGGCTTGGAGGCCTGCAACAACAATCGGCATATGAATACTGGAAAATCAGCATGGTTGAATTCGGATCTTGCACCACTGAACAAGCCTACTCACGCAATGACAGCATGTACGAACAGCTTCCGCTTGCCCAAGAGGGAGAAGACAAAAGAGGAACCTTCTTCTCCTGTGGTTTTGCTGCCACTTTCGCATCAGCCTTGCCGGCTTCAGCCATGTCCGCACCTGAGCCATTCGTGACTACCTGTTTTGCCCAACAGCGGGGTACCAATTTGGTATTTACAAACTAGAATCTAGCACGTCCACATGTCTGAGACGGGTTCCGCACTCTTTCGAAGTGTTGCGACTTGTGATACTTGTGATCACTTGAGCCTCTCCACTGCGAACACACAACTCTATCACCTTCAAGCTTGGTTGGCCTTTGGTTCGCTTGTTTGCCCCCGCATCGGCAAAGCTCCGGCTAGCAGCTGTTTCAAAACATGAAAGATTGTTGCAAGTGTGTTGGTAGAACGTCGACAAACAACACTTCCGAACAACTGGTTTCTTCTTCGCAGGTCTGCGCAACAGACCACAGTTCAAGACGAAGAACGTTTTCTCCATCAGATGCATACAACTTTAATTTCGAATCCAAATTCAAATGGCACCAATGTTCATATTTGCACACAGCGGCGCTAAGCTTTGCTGAACATGTTCGCGTGCCACAGCTGCGGAACAGTTACCTGAAAAAGTTAAGTTAGCTGTTCGTAATCGCCATTTCAGTCAGGCCGCGCTGTTCTTTCTGACTCCGCGGAATGTGTTTCCAACTCCATAGACTCAACATGCACGAATTGCGGGCATGTTTGGCGAATTATAGACTGCTCCGTGTTGATCAGCTTCCAGCTTGCTCCGAAAACCGTGACGAAAGGAGCTTCAAAGACTGCCTCCATGTGTGTCAGAGAAGTATCAGCAGACTCCGAGCAAACCTCTCATCCTAAATTCCGAAAAACTCGATGGAAGCGTCGACCTGCCCACAAACCTTGTATCGACACTCTGTGCTGCAAATTGGGCTCTCCAAGCGCCGAAAGCATTTGTCTGCACTATCGTACAAGTGTTGCATCGCGTTTTTGCTACTTTCTGGAGTCTCGATTTAAAGCCACTTTTTGTTAGTCAATCACTTGACAGCCAAGCTTGAATGATTCAGAACTCACATCTTAAACATACGAAACATTGGTCTGTCATGAAGCTTTCTGGCCACACTACAAAAGAAACGTACTATGTAAACAAAACAAGCAAGCGGACTTGAATGGATTTGGATCTTGTAAGATTTGCAATCGGCCATTATTGGGCTCCCTGTGTCTCAGCAGTTTTTGCCAGACCCAATCAGGCATTTTTTCTAAGGGCTTGTTTGTGTGTCTGGGACTTGATACTGGGTTTGAAATCTGCAAAATGTTGGATACTCGTGCCCGTAAAGTTTGGGCCGATGTCCGCGTGCGGAGTGCTCTCGAGCTTCCGAAATCAAATGAACTGAATATGTAAGTGTTGGCCAAAGTATATGGCCCGCCAAACATATTCAAAAATGGAATATCAAATATCGGAAATATTCCAGCGAATCATATCCTAATGCAAGCAGCGAATGGACATGTTTTGCTACCGAATGGTGCACAAACGTGACCCCCCCCGCAAAGAGACGAAGTCCGAAGAGGTTTCACGTCGAGGCATCGAAAAAATGTGCAAACCGTAATGGAATGCAATCGATGCCGTCGAAGAAATCGAACAACGTAGAAGCATGGAGGGGCAGCACCACGTCCCGACAAGCGCAGGTGGCAGAGTCGGAAGGTGGCGGTGAAAAGAACTGATGAAAAAGCCGAGAGCGCAATCGGCTGCAGGACGATATGCTGCAGCTCCGCACATGCAAGTGAAATGCAAAGCCCTTTCACACAAAACGTGCACCAAATAAAAACCGGTGCAAATGCGAAAAATGGAATGCATGAAAAGACATGAAATGCATGTGCGAATTTCAAGCACACCGGCCGGGCTAGGCCCAAACACAAATGTAGGTTTAC